AAGTTGAGCTTTGGAGTCATTGAGGTTCAGGCTACCCATCCTTATGGATTCTGTCACATGCCCCCACCAAAATAGGGGTCCATCCCCCAAGACGAGTTTTGTCCATCAAACTTGTTTTGTGTCAGAGCAAGTCATTGGCCCTCAAGATCAGTGTCTTTCTTTAACACTGTCTTCATTGAGTGTGAGCACACGCTCACGGGCACAGTAAGCATCTTGATGACTTAGGAAGCATAAAAGTACGTGGTCTGCTGTGGTAGGTGTCTGTCAGTACTGTTGGCTATTATTTGTAACATGGGCTGCTGTTCTGTGTTCTCTAGTGTTCTGGAAGTTCGTCTGGAGCAGAAAGAGCAGCCAGAGAGCTGTTCTCCTGGTTGGCCTCTGTGACGCAGGGAAAACGCTCTTGTTTGTCAGGGTAAGTGCTTTTGATGTTAACTTCTTAAACTTTTCACTGTGAGCTCTTGGCATCTCTTTGTAAAAGATACGTAGGCCGTCACATTGGGGAATTAATTCCTGACTTATTTTGAGGACAGAAGAACTTGTGGAAAAACCGATAAAACTGAAGATGTACAGCCATTTCTGGGTTTTTGATGTTCCCATCAGATGCCGATACATAATCTTTACCCAAATTGAAGGGTTTTGTGTTAGGATTCTGTGGCTAAGGATGACTGAACCCTTGGAGACACGGAAGCCAGCGTGCCACATCCAGTTAGTTCACACTTGGTCGGGTAACAGAATGTCACTCAGTGGCGGGAGGGAAAGGACCTTCAAAGAAGGTCCACTCTCATCTCTCCTCGTTTCCACAGCTGCTCACAGGCCATTACAGAGACACGCAGACATCCATCACGGACAGCTCTGCTATGTACAAAGTCAACAACAACAAGGTAAGTGTTCTCTGGTAGTTCTAGAATGGCATCCAGACCTGAGGAAGTGGGCACCAGCTTGTATTTTGTTGTTAAAGTTTCCTTTTCTTTCCAGCTTTTCTGTGAGTTCTTTTTTTTATTCTATTTTTTAAAATTTTTTTATTGTTATTATAAAGACGATGTACAGAGGGGTTACGAGTAATGAGTAAATGTCCTTTTGCACAATGTCACCCCTTCCCTACCATGAGTTCTGAAGTGAGCATCAATTACGTCCTTTAAAGAAGTATGGAGGGGCTGGGAAGGTGGCTCAGTGGTAGAGTGCTTGCCTCGCATGCATGAGGCCGTGGATTTGATTCCTCAGCACCACATAAGTAGAAAAAAAAGTCAGAAGTGGCGCTGTGGCTCAAGTGGTAGAGCGCTCGCCTTGAGCTGAAGAGCTGAGGGACAGGGCCCAGGCCCAGAGTTCAAGGCCCATGACTGACAAAAAGAAAAGTATGGAAATACTTTCTTCTTTTACCTCTTCCTTTTCCACCCACTGATGTTAGATCTAGTCTCTTCTTACGTGGGAACCTACCCAGTTGTACTGTGTGTAGCACAGCATTGACTGACATGTGTCTCAATATGTGGTCATGAAGAGTGAGTATTTGGAAAAAAAAAAAAAAAAAAAAGCAGGGTTGGAGCTGTGACTCAGTAGAGCACCAGCCAGTGAGTGAAAGCATCAGATACCGAGTTCGAGTCCCAGTCTTGGACCTAAAAAAAAAAATGCTAGTTGACATTTATATCCACTTACCGAAAACTGCCCAGATGATCTGAAAGGTTGTAAGGGATCCAACTGGAACTGTCGTGTGTGTGTGTGTGTGTGTGTGTGTGTGTGTGTAAGACACAGATTTCCTTCTGGTTATGGTTGGCCACAGACAAAGAAAACACAAGAAGTGGGTGATAAGTACAATATGTGAGACACTCCACAGTGTGGAATGCCCATTAGGGCTTAGATCAAGAATGGGCACAAGCCAGGCACAGTAGCTCAAGCCTGTAATCCTGGCTCCACCGGGGAGGTAGAGATTGGAGTATTGTGGTTTCACTCAGTGGCTGGGTGCAATGGCGTTTTATTAGAACGTGCTCCATGAGCATCCGTTCGACTTATTAACAACAATGAACCTTGTTCATACAACGAACCTTCGTTGCATTCATTCATGAACAGTTAGGCACCAGTCTGGTCGCCCAAATCCGACAGTAAAAGTGAACACGGAATTGGAAGGAAACACTGACGTGATATTATCGCTGCCATCCGCAGGGCAACAGCCTGACCTTGATTGACCTTCCCGGGCACGAGAGCTTGAGGCTTCAGTTCCTAGATCGGTTTAAGGCTTCAGCCAGGTAAGCAGGAAGGAAGCAGATTTGGTGACTCATTGGAGATAAGGGACCCATGGACTTTTCCCGCCCGGGCTGGCTTTAAACTGCGATCCTCAAATCTCAGCCTCCTGAGTAGCTAGGATGACAGGCGCGAGGCACCAGCACCCGGCTTTGTTTTTGGTTGCTTAAGGTACTGACGTTGGTGCTGCCTGCTCTCCCCGCAGGGCGATCGTGTTTGTGGTGGACAGTGCGGCATTCCAGCGCGAGGTAAAAGACGTGGCCGAGTTTCTGTACCAAGTCCTCCTCGACAGCGTGGGTCTGAAGAGCGCCCCGTCCTTCCTCATAGCCTGCAATAAGCAAGGTGCCTTCCCGGTTGCCGACCTGTGTGGGAGCTCCGCCCACACTCCGCTGCTCCTGTTGCCATTGTGGGAGTGGCATAGACACGGAAGCATTTAAATCCTAAATGCTTTCTAATTCTTTCTAATTTCTTATTTTTTTTTTTTTGCCAGTTGTGGAGCTTGAACTCTGGGCCTGGGTTCTGTCCCTGAGCTCTTCAGCTCAAGGCGAGCGCTCTACCACTTGAGCCACAGCGCCACCTCCGGTTTTTCGGTGATCTATTAGAGATCAGAGTGTCACGGACTTTCCTTGCCCGGGCTGGCTTTGAACTGTGATCGTCAGATCTCAGCCTCCCTGAGTAGCTGGGATGACAGGCGTGAGCCACCGGCGCCCGGCTGTTTGTAACCTTATAAGTGATTCTACCAAATCACTTGCTGAACGTTACCATTCAGCCAGTTTCATGAAGGGGAGTTGGCAGGAATGGTTCTCCTTCAGCGTGGGTAACTCCTGCAAAGGTCTCTGAACGCCATTCAGCTGCGCTTTCTTTCTGTTGGCTGTAGAGCAAAAGAGATGAGCTGGTCTTTTCTGGGCTCCTTCCCATCGATCTTTCTTCTTGTGAAACCAGCTGGACAAATACACACACTGAAAGGCCTGTAGCGGGTGGAGAAAACTTAAGTTTAATCCAATTTATTTCATCAGCCTTAACACCAACATGTTTTAGAGCTTTCTTTTGGGGAAAGCCCATAGTGTAAAAGCATTTATTCTCATAGACAAGGATGCTGTGATACAATCTCTCAGAAGAGGAAGCAAGGAAGCCGGGCGCAGGTGGCTCACGCCTGTCATCCTAGCTACCCAGCAGGCTGAGATCTGAGGATCATGGTGCAAAGCCAGTCTGGGCAAGGAAAATCTGCAAGACTCTTCTCTCCAATGAACCACCAGAAAACTGGAAGTGGCGCTGTGGCTCAAGCGGTAGAGCGCTTGCTTGCTTTTGAGCTGAGGTACAGTGAGTGCCCAGGCCCAGAGTTCAAGCCCCATGACGGACAGAAAAAAAGGAAGAGAGGAGACACTTACTGGTTTAAGCAGGAGTTTTCCTCCTGTGTGAGAAGACCCACTGTGGTATAAAATACGGCTGTGTTTTATTTCTTTACAGATATTGCAATGGCCAAGTCAGCGAAGTTAATTCAGCAGCAGCTCGAGAAGGAACTGTAAGTACCTAATAAATGCGCCAGTGTGCCTACCTCGAAGTACCTGTGCCCAGGTTCCCTTGAGCGGTTATGGGTGAAGAATAGTGTGAAATAACCCCTGTTAAATTCACAAAAAAAACTGTTAGTGGAAACAAAAAGCGGTGATGGGCGATTATACTTTTTTTGGTTGTTCATGGGGCTTGAACTCTGGGTCTGGGCGCTGTCCCTCAGCTCTTCAGCTCAAGGCCAGCGCTCTACCACTTGAACTACAGCGCCACTTCCGGTTTTCTGGTGGGTCATGGGAGATAAGAGTCTCACAGACGTTTCTGCCTGGGCTGGCTTTGAACCATGATCCTCAGATCTCAGCCTCCCGAGTAGCTAGGATGACAGGCCTGAGCCACTGGTGCCCGGCTACTTTACGATGTCAAGGAAAGATTTATGGGAGCCATTAGCTCAATTCCTTTGAGCCGCTATTACCCACACTTTGATAGTTGGAGGGAGAAGTTTTGGAAACTGGAACTACTTTCAACACACTGAGTTCAGAACAGCGTTGCTCCAGGGAGTGAAAGTTAATGTTGGCCACACAGCAAAGCATTAGTGTCAAAATGCACTCCATCAAAAGCAATTAAGTAAAAAATGCAGAAAAGCTGAGGATTAGGGAGAATAGTAGAAGAAAAACAAATTGAAACTGTTGACAGAATTGGAAGTAAAAACAAAACATAGGAAGAATGTAACCATCTGTGGCACTGTTGGTAGCCAATTTTTTTCAAGTTACTTGACAATGTTATTTACCATTTTTAGTGTTTAAGAATGTATAAACTGGGCTGGGAAGATGGCTCAGTGGTAGAGCGCTTGCCTGGCATGCATGAGGCCCTGGGTTCGATTCCTCAGCACCACATAAGCAGAAAAAACCAGAAGTGGTGTTGTGGCTCAAGTGGTAGCGCTCTTGCTTTGAGCTGAAAAGCTGAGAGACAGCACCCAGGCCCAGAAATCAGCCCTCGTGACCAACAAAAACAAAAAAAAACATATAAACTGAGCTCTAAACATCTGAATTTGAAGGAATCCAGTGTGCCCTCATATTGTACCAGTTTATAAGAACAAGCTGGAGTTTTAGCAGAAGAAATGGTCAGTATAGGGACTGGAAGTGTAGCTCAGGGGTAGAGTGCTTTCCTAGCATGCATGAAGCCCTGGGTTCAATTCCTGAGTACTACTATATAACATAGAAAAAGCCCGGAGTGGCACTGTGGCTCAAGTGGTAGGATGTTAACCTTAAGCAAAAAGCAGCTTAGGGACAGTGCCCAGGCCCCGAGTTCAAGCCCCAGGACTGGCAGAAAAAACAACAACAAAAAACAGCATAATAAAAGCAGGCTTCATTTTCCTTGTGCTTTTAGGTAAGGATGTTTTTCTCCTAAAAAAAACAAACAAACAAAAAAAAACAGATCTGATGAGGGAAATCTATAAATTCAGCTCTAAGAGTATCTTTTTTCTGTGACTTCCTGGGGCTTACTGTTTAACCAGCCCCTGATAGAGCCATCTAGTCTCTGGCCACTGATCACATCCCACACACACCTAGAGGTAGAAGAATGTGGGCAAACGCTCGCCTAGGGAGAAACGGAGAAAAATGAGGCCAGATGTGGCCCACAGAGCCCCAAGCCTTTCATTTCTGGCTCTTTACAAAGAATTGCTGGCACTGGCTTCTGACACTGCCTGACCCTGCTTGTCACCCTGTGTGCTGTTGCTGTGTCCTCTCTTGGGGTTGTCGGCACTACTGGCCATTGTGCCAAGGACCTGCGGACACATGATTTTTAGCAAGGGTCAAAAGAAACAACTCAGACGGCGGTATCCTTAACTAGCAGGTACTAAAGTAAAACCCGGAAATATTGTGAAGGCTAAAGCAGTTACATCAGGAGCCTGGTGTGCTTCATTTTGAGACGGGTCTCACCGTGTCACTCAGACCGGCCTCCAATTCTCTGTGTAGCCCAAGCTGGCCTCAAACTGTTTTTTGGGTTGTTTTTTTTTTTTTTTGCTAGTCTTGGGGCTTGAACTCTGGGCCTGTGCGCTGTCCCCGAGCCTCTTTGTGCTCAAGGATGTACCACTTGAGCCACAGTGCCACTTCTAGGTTTTCCGAGAGCATTTTATTGGAGATCAGCGTCTCATGGACCTTTCCTGCCCAGGCTGGCTTCGAACCTCCATCCTCAGATCTCAGCCTCTTTACGTAGCTAGGATGACAGGCGTGAGCCACCGGCACCCAGCTAAAAACGCTACTCTAAAGATCGTTTGGGAGGCTAGAAGGAGGCCCTGGGCTGGATGAGTATGAGAGAGCACTGCTGGCCCTTGCCATGCGCCCAGTCAGGCTGCAAAAATGTAGAGCATCACGGGTAGCTTTATGACCGGGTCTCCAGGGAGGGCTGAAGTAACTCAGGAACTGGAGGGACTTAACCGCTGCCATCTGTAACCTTTTGCCTCCTCCTGGCTTCCTTCCTTTGATCCCCACAGCAACACCTTGCGCGTGACCCGCTCTGCAGCCCCCAGCACCCTGGACAGCTCCAGCTCTGCCCCTGCCCAGCTGGGAAAGAAAGGCAAAGAGTTCGAATTCTCCCAGCTGCCCCTCAAAGTGGAGTTCCTGGAGTGTAGCGCCAAGGCCAGCAAAGGGGACCCGGCCTCTGCCGACATCCGGGACCTGGAGAAGTGGCTGGCCAAGATCGCCTGAGAGGAAGGGAGTGTGTGTGTGTGTGTGTGTGTCTGTGAGTGTGTGTGTGCATTAGTGTCAGAGAGAAAGGACGACAGCTTTGAAGAAGGGCTGTGGTTTTCTGGGTTGATAAACACGTGTACAAAACGTGCCTAGTATGTCATTGTTCTAGAAGCACATCACCATGGACCCCAGGGCGTGTTCCATCCCCTCTGCCACGCGCTCAGTGGCGGGCCAACATCTCGGGACGTCGTAATGCGTCTGCGCAGAGCAGGTGGCTACCGCCCGAGAGATTGCCCGTCCCTCTGCTTCTCGGCTTTCGTGGCTTTTTTTTTAACGCCCTCACCGCACCCCCT